TGCCTGGGGGCATCCCGCTGGTGCCGCTGTACGAGGCGCAGGGGGTGATGAATGCCGTCGAGATCGACAAGTCCAAGGCTTACACTCAGCTCATGTGGCCTCAGGGGAACGCCAAGTTTTGGTGAGTCCTTCGGTAATTTATTTTAGGGAGTTTTTTTTTTTTTTAGGAGGCAAAAAATAGAGGGAATAATAATAACTATAGAGATATAGGAATTCAGTGAGGTCACGATTCCGCTAATGATCACAAAAGAAGTACGGTCAATCTCTCAGATCCTGCTAGTGATCTTTTTGTTTGTTACTACTTTTGAACTCAAGTTGCAGTTCCATGAGGGTGGTGGTATTTCTTAATTGTTGGGTATAACTTGGAACAGTTGCCGGGATTTTTTTTTTTTTCCTAATATAATGTAAAAAAGGGTTTGGCGTAGGATAGAATTTTTGGGCGGGATTTTTTATGATTTATATTTTTATTTTTTATTTTTTTTATTTTAATTTGTAATTTTTCTAATTGTTTTGAGAACTTGAACTAGGGTTTGAATTGGACTAGAATTTAAAGATCATTTGAATTATCCCTTTTCTAAGTGTGGATTTAGAGATCGCTAGTTCTAATCAAAACAGATATTGTTTAGTGACAGCTGTGATTCATTCTAAACTTAGAACTTATCATGTTCTCGATATTTTCGATTCATTCTCATTTTTCAATTATGGCAAATCAGAATCATCTATCTATAGTAATTAAAGAGGAAAGAAATAATGATATACAGTATTCATTCTAAACCTAATTAGATACATTTTATTTGCTTGATGAAAGGAAAGAAATAAAGAAAGGGAATCAGCTAAGAAGGAAAAGTTTGTACTGCTCCCCTCCAAATTTAGTGTTTGGTTCAATTTCTAGAAATTATAGGAAATGTTTTCCACCTAAAATATGATTTCTTTGTATTTCTTAAAAAAAATTATAGGAAAAGTTTTGAGAAATCAAAAAGTACTAATTTTCTTGTTTTTTGTACTTTGCTTGTTTGGTTCAAAACAAGAAAATAGCTCATAACTTTATAAAAAATAACAAGATTTGGTAGGTTTTTAATTAAATATGGTATGTGTCAGATTTCGGGTGATTTCCTCTCATTTTGAGAGAAAATTGTTTTTTGTAAAATTTGGTAGGTTTTGATATTTTATAGAAAATATTTCTGTAAATTTTTTGTTGAACCAAACACAATTTACAGAAATCTCTGGAAAACTTTTAATTACAAATTTGCCATTGTCAAATGTTTTGAGAAAAGTTTTCTCAAAAAGTGTGCAACCAAACAGCCCCTTAGAGTAAGAATTTTAAGGTAACATGTGAAATGAATTTATTTTTGGCTTTCTTTGGTAACGGCTATGATCAAGTAAATGTGATCGTAACCAATACATCAAGGTCCGTTTCATGCATGGTTATGATCAAGTAAATGGTCTCTCCCCAAAAACCATCCGATGTGACTAGCACGATCCATCTCTCTAATATATTTACCAGCTACTTATTTAGCAAAATTAGTTGTTATCTCATATCTATTTCATCTTGTTTTGAACTTCTACTATTTTAGGTTTTTGTAATAAATAAAAAAACCTTTGATGGTCTTCCCTGTATTCTTCCACAATCTCCAGCGAAACCATAAACTCAATGAGCAATAAGATGTTGAACATTCTTCATATTATCCTCGACATGATCATCGACGGCTACGGCATCAGCAGAGAGGATAACCACATCGGTCGACCGATGCGCTCTTGCACATGATCAAGTACACCGCTCCGGCGAAGGAGGAGCCGGCCGTTGGTCTCTCCGAGCACACTGATATCAACTATCTAACGATATTGTGCCAGAATGAAGTTCAAGGATTGAAAATAATTACCAAGGAAGGAGAGTGGATCCCTGTGGATCCTGGAAATGATTATTTTGTTGTATTTGTCGGTGAATCGCTTAAGGTCTGTATCAACTCCAAACCTCGCATCTTTACTTTGCTATATTATATGGAATAAAATCTTTTCTATTACGGACAAATTTTGAAAACCAACCCATTTCTAAACTTATTCATCAAAAACGACCTATTTGAAACTTATTTGCCAGTTTGCTGAAACTGGGCCGCTTTTGGCAAATAAGTTTCAAAGAGATCGTTTTTTTCCAATTATTTATGGAAATGGGTTGCTTTTCAAAATTTGTCTTTTCTATTACCAAAAAGTCGTCGATTTGTTTAATGGACAGATTACAATTTATGACTTGTCTTTGAGTGTGAATTAGGAAAGATTACAATTTATGAGAGTATGGTGAGTGTAAATTTAGAATGAATCATTAACCAGTTACTAGACAAATTAATGCCTATAATTAAAGTAGTGGTCTCTACACTACTTTTCTGGTAATGAAGAAGGTCTAAATCTATATTATATATAGTGTTAATTGCAAATAGACCTCTTGTACTATTGCCCAATAGCACATTGGAGTTTTATTGTTTCAAATAGTCCCTATGAGTGAAATTCTCTTTAGCTCTCACGAGGTCTATTTTTCAACTCAATTTTCTTCTTATCTGGGGGTAAAAGAGTCAAAAAGTTTCACTCAGAGTCCAACAACAAAACTATAGGGGGTCTATCTTTAATTGGGAGATGGTACATGGGTATGTCCGGGATGATCCGCTTCGTTGAACTTGATCTACATATTCTAAAACCCCAACACACCAAGTTTAGGGTGAACCCGTCGTCGTTTGACCCTTCATCCACTTGTATCAATTTTAACGGTTTTCAATGAATAGAACTTTTCACATGGCTCGATGGAGGGTCAAACAACGACGGATTCACCCTAAACTTGGTGTGTTGGGGTTTTAGAATATGTAGATCAAGTTCAAGGGAGCGGATCATCCATAATGTCGTTCAATCATGTGATTTTAGAGGCGTCAAGGAGGAAATCCCCTTGTATGACAAGGATTCACATTAATCTCATATATATATATATATATATATGCCAGGTCCTCTTACTTAAAAGTTTTAAGAATGGCTAGCTAATCTATTTTAATTAGAGAATGATTAACATTAATCTCATATATATATATATATATATATATGCCAGGTCCTCTTACTTAAAAGTTTTAAGAATGGCTAGCTAATCTATTTTAATTAGAGAATGATTAAATTAGCAAGTCTGCCAGGCAAGGTTTATAGTTAAGGGGAGATGTAGGATTAAGAGAAATTGATTAGAAGCAATTAAAAATGATATGGTATAATGGTTAAATTAACAAAGTAGTTGGACCTTAACAAGAGTTAATGGAATGACAGGATTTCATGTAGTTGATTGCAAAAATTTGGGATAAACGCTTTGTTTTTACTGTTGTTATTAGCAAGTCAGGATTATATACTAACACTTGTCTTTTTCATTAGGGTCTGGAAAAAGGGTTGTTATTTCCTTGATACTTAATTAAGAGGAGTTATCTGTTGATCCACTTGAAAAGAAGGATTATTAAATCGCTGACGTTGAGGAAATTTTAATCATTTTTTTTTCCTCCAGAAAATTAGAATGCTTAACCTACATTCATCCGTGTCCACTTTCTAAATCACAATATTATGATTTATGCCCAGGCCTGGAGCAACGGGAGGCTGCATCCTCCACTTCACCAGGTAGTTTTTCGCGGCCTCAAGGACCGTCTCACCTGTGCAGTGTTCCTGAAACCGAAACCAGGTCAGGTCGTCAACACAGCACCGGAGTTCGTCAGCTACGATCACCCTCGCCTGTACAAGCCGTTCTCCTACGGCGAATTCCATGAGTACTCCAAGACGGTGTTTACTGACCGTGTTAACATCCTTAAGAATTATGCAGGCATTTGATGGATAAGGATATGTTCGCTTGTTACTCGTAATTATGTTGAGAATCAGCTGCAAGTGAGAGCAGGTGCTTGAGATTAATGCTACTATATGCATAATGCATGTACCCTCTAATTTAAGTATGCGTTAAGAGATACGGTCGGTTATTTCTCTGGATTTCTGTTCTTTCATCAATAAAGATTGATAATCTAGGTAATATACGTTTGTTCCCAAAAGAAATTAACGTCACATTTCATTCATTCATTAATATTGGGGCTAATTGCATATACAATACGCATCCTATATACCGTGCGTATGTAGTCACTCGCAATATATCTTTAAATTATTTTATTAGCACTTGTAACCTATAACTTCATTTTCAAGTTGGGCTGATGCACGTGATGCGCCTTTGACCTCGAGTCTAACCAAAAGGCTAAACTTATCCTAAATTAATAGCGAAGAAGTCATCTACATTCAAGTAACGTACGTGCTGGTATGAGTTTTCTATGGTATAAATGGCTACACCCTCAAAGTACTGTAGGTGTATCTGCAATTAACGATTGCTAACATACTTCGGCTAGAGCCGCACCTAAACATTTATTCATCTCACCAAATGCTCATCCACAGAAACACAACATTCAAGGGAGCACTCAGCCAAACCACTAAATGATTCGTTACCATTATAGTATAGCATGCAAATCAAGGCCTAGATAAAAACACCAGGAAGGATACAATTCCCAGTTCAAACCTAAGCATACGAAGCCTAAAGTTACACCTAACATACATAAATATAGTGCGCCATCTAACAAAACGCTTCACAGGTTGCCTTATTATGTCCTGCTCCTTTACACCTGCTGCATAGCCGAACCACGGTCACAATCTTATTAGGGTTAAACCTCTTCCTCCTTGGTCGTTGAGGGTTGCGCCGAGCAGGAGGAGGGAATAAGTTAGCGCCATTATTGAACTCAATGCTTTCGACGCCGGGTATTGGTATGATCGATTCTGAATATGTCGCATGATAAAACTCCGTCGTAAAATACTTCGAACAATAATCATACACGGACCTGTTAACGCGATTGCATACTGCAATAGCATGCTGGCATGGCAATCCAGATATCTGCCATCTCCGGCACGTGCATTCCCAGCTTCCAAGATTGACAACGTAGATAGTGTTTCCACGAACTTCAAACACTGTCTCTGATGAGCATAGAACGTTGAGTTTTCGTGCTTTTGATGACTCCTTCTCCAACTTCTGCTCCATTGATGGTGTCAGCGTGCTCAGCCACCCACTAGAAGCCTCCCTCCTCATCTCCATCGTCTCCGTTAGTTTATTTCTAATAGCTTCGACTATTTGTACAATAGATGACTCAGATTTCACAGGTATCCAGTTGGTAAATGAATCCACAATGTTTGATGACAAGTGGTCGTATCTTGAGCCTCTGAAAACGGCATCCGACCAGTTTTCAGGCTTGCTGCTCAGAACCCATTCAGCAACTTCAGATGAAACATTTCTAATGCTCTCAATGGACATATTGAAATCTTCGATAGTACAGGCTTGGGCAGCACGTATAAAATCGTCAACCATGTTATCTCTAACTTGTTGTGACCACGGGCCTTTCTTTAGCTCAAATTTGAACTCATCTATGAGATGTCGTAAGCAATAGCTGTGGTGACTTTCCTCGAATACTTGAGCTAGTGCAACATCTAACCCCTTCTGCCTGTTTAAGACAAAGGTAATAACACGAGATACTCCTACAGAATACTTCAACTGTGATAAGAACCATGACCAAGTATCATAAGTCTCATCCTCCACTGCAGCAAATGCCAAGGGGAAAATAGCATCATCACCATCAACTGAAGCAGCAACCAATACTTTGCACTGAGTATTCATCTTCAAAGGGATTCTATCGAGAAAAATGATGGGGCGACAACCTTTCTCGAACCCATGAAGTGACGCGTGAAACGCAACGAAGAAACGGCGAACCTTTGAATCAACACTTGCAGAGAGCAGGGCAACACTGCCCGGATTTGTCTCCAATATTCTTTCACACAACCATGGCAATTGACTATATGTCTCTTTGAGCATGCTATAGAGCTCCTTCTGTGCATCTTCTCTACCCCTCCAAACTTGTGAATAAGTCAAGCTCACTCCATAATCCTCATAAAGTTCTCTTACAATCTCTTTGGGTTTACACGGTAGAGAGGCTTGTAACTTTTCCTTGAGAATACTTGTCAACCATTGCCTCGTTGCTCTCCGTTGACCATCTTTCCCGTTACCTCCACCACATGTATGTTCATTGTTCATTTTCTTGATCACAAACTTTTGCTTTTGTGATGACTCAGACGCATGTATCCTCCATGGACAATTCTCCTCGATGCATTTTACGGTCACACGGGTAATTTCATTCTTCACAAATTTGTAGACAAAACCTTTACTGATGGCATATTTACATAACTGACCACGAAACTCCTTCACATTGTCAAATTCTTGCCCTACACCCGTGATGACATCCTCCCAAAGAGTGGTCATGTTAAGAGGTCTGGCATCATCAGAACTAGCCAGAGTTGCAGCCATAGGGGTGCTTGGATCAGCTAGAATACTGCTACTTTCCCTGCATTAACATAGCTTAAATGTAATTTTCATGAAAGTCAAATATAAGCATCCTGAAGAGGGGAAAAGGCAGCATGGCTATGATTACCTCTCGCCAAAATTATCAAGGGTTGTTATTCCCCGCTGTGCAAAATAATCTGCACTAGCAGGGGGAGTCGTGAAAATCGGCACAGAAGAGTTGGCGACCATGAGTTCAGGCGCACTGTAAAAAAAATAGATATCATATATATTAAACAAGAAAATGGAGGGTAGAAATAATTCCACATCCACCACCTAGAATTAGTGGTCCCTTCTACTAAGGAAGGCCTATGAGAACTTGTCAGAAGCAATTAATACATTGTAATAATGACTAACTTAGTGAAGAAGATAACTCTTAAGAAAACTGAATGAAAGAAAATGATTCACTTAACCGACTTCGAGAATTTGGGATAGGCACAAAATAGTAATACCTACTTGGTTTATTTTCTTACTAAAATTTGTTCCTCGATTATACTTTGATTATTTATTTATTTGATGTTTGTTTAAATAGGCTATACCCAGTTAAAATTTTTATGTTGATAGTTGAATTGTCAGGAGATAAATATAATCTAAAGCCAATTTAAATTTTTATTTTATTTGGATCGGCATGAAACCGAGCTTGACCTGAGGAAGTATAGTGTAATGAAAGTGAAAACACTTAAAAAAATAACATTATAAAAGGAAGATAAATAATAAAGCCAACGAGTTAAGATAATTGATTTAAAGTGGGCTAAAATGATAGAAAATAGTTAATAAAAAAAATCATAAACTGAATATTAATGCTAACTCTAGTACACTTTTATATGATAAAAGCATCCACATATGCATATGAAAGCACTAAAAATAGTTTATGAAAATCCCTTCTAAAGATTCCTAATTTTACTAAAAAAATAAAACTATTCTATAACAATTAACAAAACATTATCTTTTGTTGTTTCTATTTTATTTTTTATTGAGTCGAGATCAATTATTCTTCATCTTTATCTTTTCCTAGACAAATCTAGAGAAGTGTCTTCATCGTCTACATCGATTGTGATATGAGACTGGAGCATGTTATC